ACAAAGGCTTCGACGAGGACGTCGAAGGAATAAGTGGGGGAGATTGTCGCGGACAAACTTCTAAACAAGATGTTTGATGTAATGCTTATATATGTCCATGTCTTTTGGTATGTTCATACTTTGCCTAGCATATAGAGGGACAGCCGAAGGCTTAATAGTCCCATTTTAGTTGGGTTTGGGGGCCGTTTTAGGCTTGTAAATAAATATTATGTCATGTGGACACTTCTGAGAGATTTTCGGTCTGTAGTGGACCATTTTGACCCTTTGTTTTACAACTGTTCAGAGCTTGTAAAGTCTGTCTGTAATTTACATTGTCTATGAAGTGTTTTCGGAAATGTTTGCTTATGGATCCTGAGTAAGGCATTTTCTCTAACCCGTTTTCTCTTTTGTGGGTTCTAAGGGACCATGGGAGGCTTCGGGGAGGCTGACCTTTATGGACGGACACACAAGGGTGCCGCACGACTTAGGCAAAACCAGCTAAGTCCGTGACACAACGTCCAATCTTCTGACATGTTCCTCCGGCCCAACATGATTTTTCTGCTTTAATTGTCTCATCCTGATCGAAGCATCCTGCGTCACTTAAAACACATATTAAAACATACACATATCGATTAGTTTCATTATCAAAATTCGAGATTCAACAGCCCAATCGACATGTTTCCTTCTCGCAACATCCGATCTCACACCTCTCTTAGAATGATCATAAAATTTAAGGAGGAGAATAAGGACACTTAGCATTTTTTCACAACTTTTCAACTTAGAATTACAGCCCCTTTCTACGCTATTTCTACTTATCCAAGCAGGAAAGAGTAGGGTATTTATAGACTCCAAATAGCTTCAAAATGGAGCCAAAAAAAGTTTCATCCTCGGTTTCTCGTGTCCTGATGGTACCACTGCCATTACTTCTTGGTTGCCACCTCCTACTTTCCTCTCCCCTTCTCCTTCTTAGCCAACAAGTGTGGAGATTTGGGCAATAACTTGAGGAGTGTCTTTGTAGCCCCTACCATATGAATCACCGCTAGAGAGGAGGATACTTGACCTCCTTCATCCTCTTCCACAGATCTACAGAAGTTCAGGGATATATGATCTCCCTAGGTAACATAACTATTTTACACGTGGTTTTCAGTTTTGTGGGTTTTTATGTACCATCTTCACATGACGAAGAACACCTTTCAAAAATTTTGAGAATTTTATTTTATATTCTTTCGTTGCACATGTGATGTCGCCCCTAGATTTTCCTACAACCAAATCCTACCATCATAGGCAATCATAATGCCACTCAAGGCAACCGTTGCCGATGATGGCAAAGTGCTTCTGCTAATAGAAAACTATCAATAATAGCTTGACGAACAAATATATGTAGCATACTTCAACCATGGTTCCACCCATGTTGCAAGCAAATGAAGAACATGGAGGAATAGTTTCAAAGACGATATAGGAAAGCAGATCAATAATATAGACGAATCATTCAAGCATCGTACAATCAAAATCAAATAACATCTTTTCGTAAGAACAAGATACTAACAAATAAATCTAAATACAAAATAGATCTGATATACTTTTATGATCTATGGTATTTAATTTCAAAACATGGCTCTAATACCAAGGTATTTAATTTCAAAACATGGCTCTAATACCAATTGTAAGTATAAAAATAATAATTATGCTATTATGCAAAAAAAAAATTAATATAAGAAACGAACTCAAATAACGATAGATGAAATATTATGATTGCGTACTTTTTGATGTTATTCAAAATAATCTTTATAAGATCTGCAGGCACACCATCGTTTGATCTGAAAAAAATAGTAATATTAATTTACAAGGAAAACTAGACTTACCTCTTCTCTATCCTTCATAGGGTCACCATAAGCGACGAAATAGGGACTAAGGGGGAGATGAGAGAAAATTTATAATCTCTCAATGTCACATCACATATTGAGTCCATAAGAGGTCATATTTATTTATAGCTGATAACTTAAAGTCAAAAATAAATAATTAGGAGAGTCCCTCCCACAATGATCATCTCCAATTAAATTAAATTTTTTTATTAACTGATAAATATAAATAAAATCTAATTAAATTTATGATATATCTTATAATAGGGTGACATAATCTAACATATTTATCTCTTTTCACAACCCTGAATCAGCAAGTGTTGCCCCTTGAAATCTCATCTTGTCAATGTTCACGCCTCAACAATCAATTCAGTGACAACCCACACGACTTAACTTATTTTTAGGATTTGAAACCTCATCCTATTAACCTGATTGTCACGATGTATCTAATTCACTTCCTTCATGTTGAGAATCGAAAATCTCATATTATAAATTTTATTATTATAATATTAATGATATATATCTCATTTTATAAATTTTACTATTAGATCAATAATTAATCTGTTGATGATATCTGACTCTAAGTAAACTTAACTCTTCTATTTTAGGCTGACTTAAAGTTTCATCCTACCATAATTTAGTAGTTTAATATCAACATGCCTACCTCATGTATTTTAGTAGGTTGGAAGTTCGAAGAATCATTTAAACATTTTTTAGCGTGCTAGTTTAGTGATAATAAAAATATCAAAAATTCTTTTATGAATTCAAAAGAGTTTCAGTGTTTCGAGGATTCTAACAATGAAATTACAACAATAAGACACAAACTTGTTAGGTTGCAACAACTCGTGCTTCTGTGCTATGGTTAGAAAGGACTTCGATTTTCGAGAATTGCATAAAAGGATTTGCTTAAAGAAAGATGTCATAATCAATAATTCATTGAATATTATACCGTGCCAAACACAATGAGGACATGATGGTGGTAATGCGTAGGAATTGTTCTTCTGAACCTATCAAATTGTTTCAGATCAAATCATTCCGATGAAGTAAACAAGACGTAGCAGCGGAGGAGAGGGAGAGTCTGTTCAAGGCTAAATATGTGTGAAGTAGGAGCATAGGAGGGTTACTACAGACTGAATCATTTCTTAGCGAAGAGGCCGCCAAGGCCACCGAAGCCGCCGGATTTCTTCTTGCTGGGAACGGAGACGGAGGTGGACGACTTTCTGGACCCGGTGGCGGTGCTGCGGCTGCCGCCGCCGTTCTTCTCCCCCACCTTCTTAAGAATGGGGTCCGTCTCCAGCAGTTGGTCCTCCTTCTGCAACCCTCCCAGTATCCAGTCCAACAGCCCTTTCTCCTCCCCGCTGCTTCCGGCGCCCTTGGCCTCTGCTGTCGCTGCAAACACCCGCCCGCCCGCGACCGCCGCGCCGAACGCCATGCTCAATGATGCCATCTCCGTTCTCCTACTGTTTTGGTCGTGTGCCACACACTTGCATGTGGATATATCGCAGGGGTGAAGAATGTCGTCCACATATTATTCATCATCTGATGCTTGGAGGGTGCCTTAGCGGTGGCTTCGGTGGGATAGCGTGGGAGGAGCGGTCCACAAGTGTCTTATCCGAAACCATGATATGAAATAGAAAATGCTATATAATTGTGGTCATATAAAACCACTTGACAAGTCGCAGGAGCTCTGTCCTTCGTGTGTTTACGGCAGTGGCAATGGAATATGAATTCCCAATTATATCTCCATCACCATAGTGCTCTGTGGAATGTTTCGACTTGGCTCGATATCATTCACGAGTCGAAGAAAAGCACCTGTGAAGCAATGTGCCCTCTTGACATTTGATGGTTCGGAGGGCTTATATTCTCGTTATTTGCTTTCATGCTCTTCTGGCTAATGTCCTTTGTAAAGAACATCATGTTATGCTGATCCTCTGTATGGTGAAGGCTTCAAGTAGCTTAACCGGATCAGTCAAATTGTCCACCATGGCGACACTAGTCATGAAATGGGTTTATTAGCTTAACGGATCATTCTAAAATAACCGGGGAAGACATCTTGAGCATTGAGTAAGACACCAACCCATTTCTTTGTATATATATATGGATTCATTTATAGTGGGGCTTTGACTATTAATCAACCCCTTTACAACAAAATGCGTATGAACATGGAGGTTCACCTTGGCTTAATTAGCACCACCATATTGGTATCGAAGTTTGTAGGAGAAGCCCATCTATATGAGAGTACACTCATTGTGGTCTTCTTTAGTATTGCTCTTAAATCTGGAAAAGGCCAAGTTCTTATTTGGGATGACGTCCAACTGAAGGTGGAACTAATCTCCATCGAGCATCAATTCTTGTGTATCAGTGTCAAGAACGTTTCAAACCTCAAAATAAGGTTGAGCCATTCTAAACACCAAGCTGACCAAGATAACCCTCATGTAGAGTTGATTAACCTCATTGAATGGATGAAAGATAGTTGGTAATCTAGTAATAAGTCTAAGTCAAACTAAGCAGGTTGATCAAACACCAATTCAACTCAAAAATTTTATTGACAACCCCATTTTATTTTTTTTAATATTTCTATATTACTCCTTTATACATGAATATAAATATCATCTTTTCTTTCTTTTTTTTCTTTCTTTCTTCTCGAACAATAATGTCGAGGGGATGATTAGCTGTGTCGGTAATAAGTGTCATCAATGACAAACAACGGTGATGATAGCATTAACAAGAAGCGAATTGAAATGAGTTGTGAGGAAGAAAAACAAATTGATAAAACTAGATTGTAAATAATAAAATATTTTTTTTATTATTTTTTAAAGGATTATCAATAGCAACTAATTATGAATAATAAATATGGATTATAAATAGTAAGCTTCAAAATATAACTTTTAAGTTATAAGTCAAAACTAGTATGTTAACTTACTCTTCTCATCCTTAGTGATTTAGTAATATAAGATTATCCTCTTTATCTCATAGATGAAAAATTTTAATATATTCTCTTGTTTATCCGTGGGTTGATGGTCTTTTCTTTACTATTACTATGTGATGATTCACTCATCCAAATATATCTATTTTATTTTTTATTTTTTAACTCTTTCAAGTCAAATTATATTAATTTATTATATAATAATAATAATAATAATAAATAAATAAAATAATTAATTAATAATAAAACTGCTACTAATTTCATAACTCATGACGACACACAACTGGCCAGCTTCTACTGCAGAAGAAATCGGAGAAACACACACACACTCTCGCTCTCTCCTCTTTTTTGCCCCTCAAGTTAATCTCATAGGGGCGTTCTTTCTTGTGCACCTAAAATTCTCTTAACTGTGTCTCTGGAAGTTGCTTGCTTGGAAGAAGTCGAACACTGCTAACGAGTAGCTGCTGCGGGGTGATCATATCGTCAGGTTTTCTACTGAGACGTAGCTCATGAAGTCCTCGTCCAGGAGGAGCGCCGCCATCGTCTCTGGCGCCAGGCACATCTCCAGGTCCACGCTCCCTTCCCCATCCCTCCCTGGGAACGCCGACATCTTCCCGTCGAACTTGTTGGCCCGGCCGCTCCGCACCGCGACCGGGTTCCCCCAGCCGAAGTTGTTCCCCTCGTACACGGGGAACCGGTGTGAGCTGCCCATAGTGATCCCGGCACCGTCCGGGTTACCCAGCGGGAAGCACCTCGGAGCTGCTTCCCACTCCGTCACGCCCCGCCGCACCGTCTCGTTTCCGTGCGCCACCACACTACCGTGCAACAGCCCGGTGGTCCAGGAAAGGTCCCTCCCCACGATATCCCCCACCAACGCCTTGGTCGGGATGCTCTGGATCGCATTCCCGAAGTAATTCGCTGCCACTGGTGGCACCACCCGATGCCGGCAGTTCACTGCCATCCGAAAGGTCGTTGTCGCTTCCATGGCCAGCCGCTTTCGAGCTCCTGTCACGGACCGCCAGACCAGAGCACAGAGGGATTGGAATGACGAGATCTCGTCCTCCTTCACCACCGCCGCCAACGCCTCTGACTCTCCGTCCGGGATCTGTTCCTCATGTATTCCAGCCAGGGCGTTGCCATCGTCAACGAGCTTGGGACTCTGGCGATTGGCCCTCGATTTTAGGTCGAAAATTGCCTCGCGGCTGAAGCGAAAGATCCTCTCTCGAAGCGGCGCGTCCATCTGAAACGTCACCTCGGGCCCGGCTCCGCTTGGGAATCGTAGCACAGCCTTTGAGTCACCGAAGTAGTTACGGCGGAGGTCCGGCGACGCGGGGATGCCGCCACGACATATCTCAGCCCAGGCGTTGAAGAAGTTCCACAAGGAAGTGCCATCGACGACGGCGTGGTTGACGACCGCTCCGAGGAAAAGAGCACCATCAGCGAGCTCAGTGAGCTGGAAGTTGGAGATCGGCAGGAAGTGACCGTGGTAGCTGAGGGCGCCGTCAAGGGGGAAGAGCAACTTGACAGCGGCGGGGACGTCGGCGGAGTCGGGTAGGAGAAGAGGGAGTGTAAGGGAGGGGGCGGCGGCATGGTAGAATTCGGCACCGGAGTCGTCGCAGGAGATGAAGATGCGGCCGTCGGGGCGGGTGGAGAGGCGGCCCGCGAGGGCGGGAAAGAGGGAGAGCACGCGGGCAAGACACGAAGTGAGGAGCGGAAGAAGAGAAGCTACAGGAACTGGCGGTCTGGGGAAGAAAAGGCCCTTCTGGATGTAGTGGCACGACAGCATGGGAAGGTCGGAAACGGAGAGCGGTAGGTCGCCGATGGTGGACTTGCAGTCAGGGAACACTCTGCACTTGGATAGGATGGTGACGGCGCCGCCCAGAGCCACAGGAGAAGAGTGGATAGGATTGGAAATGGAGAGGGCAGCAGAGCATACGAGAGAAGAAGAGAGAGATATGGGAGACATGGCTGCTTGTACACTGCAGATGCTACTAGTGCTCCGTCGGTGGGGAGGTGGAGGGATGACGGAGAAGCGTGGGAACCGGGGGAAGGCATTTATAGGGAGAGAAGAGGAGGTCGGATGCATGCATTTGGTAGAGTTGGTCGTGCTCGCGACACTGTTTCTTACTTGCGTTTCTGAATTATGTTCCGTTCAATTTTCCAAATAAGACTTGTTGGATCAGATACTGCGAACTATAAGCTCCAATCCTGTAAAGTATTGGGCGGAGGCGTCCAGGTTCAATCCAAGACCCCACCGACCACCACCACCACCACCTATTGGCCCCATCTACCAAGTTTGAATGGCAATCCTCACATTATAAACGGATCCATCGCAGCAAACTAATTAATCCATCCTGGATGGGGGACCAGTATGTGCGGCTGCCAAAAAGATAAATAAAGAGAAAGAAGTGGTGATGCGTCGCGAGCAGCTCAACTGCAAGTCGATTGAGGGTGGTCTGCATTTAGGCTGTTTCGGTCCCCCCCACCCCACCCGTCTCTCTCAATCTCTCGCTCTCCCCGTACCGGTCTTCTCCATCAGAATGTGATACATGACCGCCTCCTTTTTTTAATCAAGTTGTGGGTCCTAACACCTGTCCATCTCACAGGTCTTCGGGTCTCCACTTCGATAGGCGGACTTGATTTAACCTTTAGAATCAATTAACTTCGATCGTGTTTCACATCTTAAATAAACCCAGTCAGACGGCTCGAATTTAACTATTCTTCTTTACTTCTCAATCGTGCATTTATGGACATGACACTGTTCATTAATTCCTTAACTATCGGTTCTTGAAGGGTAGAGATCAGACTGAGAACCGAGTCCAACTCAAAGCCTTAGCTGTTTCCAGTAGGTTGCGGTCATGAATAGACCTGCGCGTCTGACAGGGTCGGTCAGGTATTCATCAACTGTTATGTCCCTCCAGCTATACGTGCCGCTTTCTTAGGTATTGGAACTCGAGATGACACATTACTCGAAGATAATGCCCATACTTAAGTGAGTATGAGCTACCAATCTATTCATCGATCCATCAGAGACGGTCAAAACCATTATTCCAGCCCATCATTAGTTGGTAGGCTCAGATCCCACCCCATATGAAAAGTAGATGACCGTAGCTTGTACTCAGAGCTGTTGTTCGTGTCCCCCACATGCAAAAGCAAGTGACGGCTGTACCTTAACGGAGGATCTGAGTCCTCGATTCACTCGTGGGGATCTCCGTAAACGAATGGCGGTAGCAGGTGGATTTTTGGTTGGTTGGCTTCACATATCGATCACGTTTAACATGTACAAGAAGGTGACAACAAGTTTGGCCCCGTAAATAAGGACTACCAATGCATCCCCTCGCGATTAACGTGAGAAATAGAGAGCACAAATTGAGCCAATGATTTGATAATGACATGAACCAAGCACAAAAGGATTTCACACACTGAACGATTTCGTCACATGTTCATCATTTCATGACATACTATAAAGTCATTTCATGGCGTATCATGTTATATATATATATATATATATATATATATATATATATGGTGATAAGTATGTCGTCTTTTTGTTTACTTCTTTCTTTGAATTAAAAATAAAAAATTGAGTTATTGGGATGTCATAATGTGCAGGTACCAGATTCTATCAAACAGAACATGCAGTATTCAAGTTAAACTATGGTACATGTGAATAAATAGATTTGAAAATTTTGAAAACAGAAAACCAAAAGAATTAAATCTCTCTCTCTCTCTCTCTCTCTCTCTCTCTCTCTCTCTCTCTATATATATATATATATATATATATATATATATATATATATATATATATATATATATATATATATATATATATATATATGTATATGTGTATGTATATATATATAAATATATATAT